AAAAAAAAAAAAAAAAGAACTCACCCTGCGCGGCAAGAAGTATCACCAATAGACCAACAAATCGCAGGGGCAACATGTTCTCCCGTCTTTGTTCACTTTGTCAACAAACGACACAATTGCCACTACAGTTGCCGTGTTCGGTTTGAAACTTTGTTACTCTCGGGAGCGAAAGAACGCACGTCTATCTTCCGCGGCTCGAAGACTACCGTTCAACTGAATTAAGAAGCGAACGTATCCACCGATACGAGGTGGATACCGAATACAAACTGAGAGAACGAGCGCGCGTGGTATCCGAAGAGCGGCGACGGAACCGGGCCCCCGGCTTTTTACGGGGACTTGCGCCGATCGGTTGCGCACTCGGCACCGTACGAACTCGACACGCGCCTCAACTCCTGTAGGAATAGGACTTACACGCCTACGATGTGCATTCGTGTACGTACGTGCGACGGCATTTGTAGAAGCGCGCGCCTATACAAAACTGAGTGTACATGTATTCAATGGCGCAATGTCGCGTAAATGCCGCACGAATTTTCTTCCCTCTACTCGCTTGTTCGTAAAAATCATGCTTCTCAGAGTTTCTGTTCGTTGCTGTCGATTCTCTTTAACAACCTTATGTCACCTCGGATATTTGGCTTTACGATGATTGAGAAGGAAACGTGTATATTTCAATTTTATTATCGTATCGTATAATGATGTTGCTTGATAATTCCTAATTAAACTTTTGGAGAGCTTTTGACGAATTTACCATCACCATAAAGACGTACTTTAAACTTACTTATACTTTACGCTGCAGAATTATGTTTGATGAGAATGGGAAGCGCAGAGATATTTTATAGGGAATCGCGACCAAGTATAAATCAATGCTCGCAGACTGATAAAGGCGAGGAATACGTATATCGAATATCGGATTTATCTCTGTGTACAGAGTTTCGAATGAATAAAGCATAGGCACGTATATGTGCGCGCGTGAGGAGCATGTATTTGCACGTTACTTTCGTCGAGCGCTTACCTCTTTCGATTCATCCATTCGCTTTGTCATTGTGCATAAGACGAAAGGCAAAGAGCATTCACTTCTTTACATTCCTTTTTTTATCTCCAAGCGAATTAAAAAATCATACGCATAGAGACACTTTGAACGAAATGCTCGTAATGTTTGTGCGTTTACTCATTGTGTTCAAAGAAAGTTGTCATTATCCTAAATTTAGCAATTCGTGATTGCGGAAATTTAATTAACTTGCATGTGAATTCGTAGGAGAGACTAATATCACTACTGTGGTTATGACACATAAAAATAATTCGTAATAACATTGTACGAACTATTAATCAAATGACTCATATCCTTGCTATGATGTCATTTGTAAAGTTTATTATACATATATAACATAGATATTTGTCAAGGCAATTTTTTTTTAATTTAATTCGTTTAAATATAAATTAGTAAACGATTTTAATAATTAATACCTTTCTCGTACAACTGTTAATTCTAATTATTTACGAGATTAATAACATTTCTCAAAAAGATATGTGCTTAAAAATTTAATAACAGTAACAATATTCATTTTTGCGCATTATTTATGCAAAGTCTAGAAAGAGCTTCAGCGACGGAAAAAATATTTGAATTTTAAATCGCCGCTAGCACGGCAAAGAAAATATTTAAATTTCATATCTAGCGCCCTTGAACAGGCACGTTTCATTTCCTTTTCCCGTGATAATAAACAAAGCCCTTATTTTACTTCACACGTATATAATTTCCTTTTTGTGCATGTCCTTTGTGGCAACGTAAACCTGTATCATAATTTTCATTTCCAATCTTATTTGCACAAAGCATTCATTTTTAATCTTTAACACTCGTAGATGTAACCTGTAATTAATGCAATAGATATTGGTTTATTACATGTAAGATAACGTACTGTGATACTTTATTTTCCCCGAGTGCCTGGTATAGCCATCTCGTGATGGTATTGCGAAGCTATATATGAAAAATTTATGCAATTAATCGCGATACGAGTTGCCGAGCGTATAAAAAAAAAGGCAGATTTAATATCTCATAAAAAGAAAATATTTCTATCGTGGATGTCGATACATTAATATAAATAGAGAAGTACGAACAAGAGGGAATTGCAGACATTCTCTCGTGCAGCTGGAACTGTTGGATTCTCATTAGCAGAGAACGGTGTTTGATTGGTTGATTTTGAAACAACTTAAAATCCCGCCCAAGAAATCGCGATGCGTTGCCGAACGCAGAGAGACAAAGGACGCTGTCGTATGCAAGCAGATGGACGCCATGTTCATTTGTCAACGGACGTCAAGGTGTGATCGTTCGGAGGAGCACGATTTCTTCGAGAAAAAAGAAAGTATCGAAATATATAGTGGTTTCATTAAACAATCGTCATCAAGTTAATGTGCATCTTGAACGGCATGGCGTCCTCGGAATTACAGAAACGGAAGCTGGAAGAATACGAAATGCAGCTGTTTAGCTTTCATTCGAGAGCCGTATACGCTACTTGTAAGGCGCCGCCGATATACAGTTTCACTTGAATGCTTTTCAGATTTCGTAGTATTCTCGTCGTACGTAATCGCATATCCCGATCGTTGGACGGGTGTACTCTGGTATCATGTAGATTTGATCATGACTAGAGTCACACTCGTCCATTGCTTGGGATACTTTCATCGACCCTCTGCGGACGAAGTAATCACAAAGCGACTACCGCTTTACTCTCTTTTTTTTCTTTCATCTCTCTCTTCTTTTTGTTTTCGTTTCGTTTCTTTCCGTCTTTTCTTTTCTCTTCTTTTCCCATCTCTCACACCTCAAAATCAAAGAACAAACAAATAAAATTTGACCTTGAACCTATATATATATATAATATATACATACATACATACATACATACATACATACATACATACATACATACAAATTCCATTTCTTTTTTTTTTGCTTTTTTGTCTTGTTTGTCCAATTCAGATATCTGAGTAAAGTGTAAAATATATAAAAATAAATGATTTAATACAAATGACGATACATCTATTCAACAAATATCTTAATTTATTTTTATGTTTACACTAATGCTTGTATTAATAAATAGTGATAATGACAAGAATGAGATATGGATGATCAATTATTGTTTTGTATAGTGCAGAATATTATAAGTGAAAGGATATATTCCACAATTGAGAAGATGTGCGAAACAATTGAAAAAGCATATAAACTAAATTCTGACAATTTAGAACTCCTTAAGACAAATCGAAAGCAATTAGAAAGAGCATATTTTAAAGGAGCGATGCCACATTTAGAAAATATTAAGGTAATTGCATTGATCACAAACATGTAATGGAAGGTAAATACTTATTTTTTCTAATATGTGAAAAAGTATATAATTATTTTCCTTAGGATATTGTAAATAAATATGTTGTTGTTCCAAGCAATGTTTTGCTTGAAGAGGATAAACATCAAAGAATACAATACAGTGACGCAGACTTTGAAAGTCTCAATCGAAGGTTAGAAGATTTACAAGAAAGAGCAAAAAAAGTACGTATCAAAATATTTTTTAAGTAATGTAAAATTTATATTATCAGAGATAATAAGTGAAATTTAACTTTCTGTAAATAGGCTACTATTTTGAATGCAATACTGAAAGAAGAGCTGCAGATTTTAGAAAAATTTCCAATTTCTGAAGGAGATGTAAATAAAATGTGTGATATAATAGAAAAGATGAAATGCCCTGATATAGGTGAAAAAATGTATCAGTCAGTAGAAGACTATAAACAATTTTCCACAAGTTTGTTTGATATTAGAAAAATTACAACAAAAATGAAGTACAACACAGTGGATAATCTGAAATGCAAAAAGTTTGATTTAAATACTTTATAAATTGAAAGAATATAAACAACGTAAAAACGAATTGTTTGTTCAATTGTGTTTTCTCCAAATGAAATTATGTAAATATGCAAATTGATATTCTATGAATTTTATACTTATATATTTTATACTTTTTCTATAAATAAATTAACTTACAACGCATTAATTTTACAGCTGTGATATCTCTGCATGAAAATGTTTCTAAAAAGAAGAACCGAAAGATTAGCCCTGCCATAAAATTAAAAATTCGCACCACTTGAATAAACAACTAGCAAATGCTTGTGGTATTTTTATTATTGAAATAAGGTATTTACTTTTTGTACATCGCTTTCATTTTATACATGTATTACACGTAATCTAAGACATCAATTTCTATAAATTCAATAGCAACCAAAAAAATACAACATAAAATTTACAAATCGCAGCATAAAAAAATTTATTAGTAATATTTTGTACGAGATCGTAGTAATTTCAGTTAACATAAAATAATTAAAAATTCAGAAAAATTTAATAATTATAGATAGGCTAATCAATTTACTGTTGATTCGCTTCGCTTCCAGTGTAAGATCACTTACACTGTTCTTTTCTTTTTAGGTGTACGAAGATGGAATATATTGCACAATCCACAGTTAGGTCTCTTTCACATAAGCCGCATACACGCATGACGAGACAAGAGTCTTTTTTGTGTTTTGTGGGTTCTTACATGCTCGTGTATAAACTGGCATTCCCGGTTTAACGTAACTTGTTTCTTTCTGCCTGGTAGTCGTGTATTCCCATATGGAAAAGACAGAGTACACTAAAGCATAGCGCTTCCCCTTAAAAACACTCCGGTAGTGGGGCACGTTAGAGCAGGGGATTTTCGCTTCTACGCTAACAAAGATTTACCAGCGTCATTCCAACACGTTCTGTTGAGTATAGTGGAAGAGAATAATGTGTGCTATTATAATTTTTCATTTCTCTAAATAATTGTCAAAGGCGTGAAATATTTTCTGACGTAACCAAATATTGCTATAGCTTAGAATTTTCATTTTACAATAATAATTTTTATAACTATTCTGTGTACACAATTTGCAACAATTATAAAGATGCATGGCAGAAAATATGTTCAAAAGGAAAATGTTTCTGACAAAAATCATGTATGATTTACTCAAACAAAATTATATTGATTATTTCGGAACCGAAATAAAATATTTTTGAAACGTAAAAAGAGATTTCTAAAGTATTTCTAACATAATTAAAATAAAATTTCAAGAAAGAAATTCGAAGATTTTATTTCTCGTTTTTTATGTACGCCATAATTAATGACTGAAAATTAGAGAAACTTAAATAAAAGAGTTGAGGATCATTTTTTAAAATATATCAAAGATATATATACAAAGTTATAAACTATATTGTTAATGTGCTATTATTTAGGAATTTAAAATTAAGCTAAATGAGAATTTATATATATAATTTGTAAATATCAGTTAATAAGAATGTAAGACTTATGATATTAATTATTACATTAGTAAATTATAAGACATGTTCACGTGTTCACAACTAATTTTGATCCAGGTATTGAATGTAATTGTGAGAAAATAAACATTATTTAATCAAGTACTTCGATGTGCTGAAAGAAATTTGTAAATTTTTATACATGCATTTTTATGAATAACAGAAAGAAAACTGAGCAAATTAATCCCCTTAATATTTCTTTTGCATATGGTGATTTCAAAACTAACGGCGAAATATTTATTTATCACAAATTACGTTAAATATTGGAATCAAATTTGTTTGTACATATCTTCGATAACATTATCTTCGAGATGTATACCTAAAAAAAACAAATTATTGGTATAAAACGTTAAAATTAATTTTTTTTTTAATATGGATACACAGACCTTGTTTGCAAAACAAGATCTAGTCTATGGACAAGCAAGATGCTGACATCTATCGGAATTTACCCTTTCGATTTCAGTCGAAATTTAGAAGGAATCAAATAGCAGCAGCATCTGCAGACAAGAAGAGCAATGTGCAACAAAAGTAAATATACGTCGTATAAAAGACAAGGAGAACAATAGTACGCAATAAAGACAAAAATAGCAATTAACCATCTTTTCGCGGCGTAGGTATTTTGAAATTGAACAATTTTCATTTCCCAGAAATACTAATTACGGGCATGAATTTTGCAAGCTTTTATAATTGAATTGGATTTCCGAATCCGAATTAGACTTCCAGTTTTTCGTCTCGTTATTCCATTCGATCTACAAAAGCACGTATAAAAATTTACAAATTCTACCAAAAAGATTGAAATACTTGCTTGAATAATTTTCTCAGAAAATATATATATCTTATATTATTTGAGAGAGCTGTAAAATACACATATAAAAGTTACATACGTATTTGTAGGACATTTGTAACATTTAACAAAAATATTTTTCAGTGATAAATTAATCGTTCCCTTATAAATGATTGACTAAATTAATCATTATCCGTTTTAAATTTTAAACAATTTCTGTTAATAATTTAAACATGTATTAAGCGCGAGCTACATTTTGAACGAAAATGTAAAATCACAATTTGATTGATGCTGTCATAAATGCAGCATAATATTAATGTGCATGATAATGAACATTAAAATGCAGATTATCAATGTATTTACTGATTATTAAAGGAAAAATTGAACTCGAGGTGCAACAACCAATAGCTTTAACGTTTCGTTTTAAATTTCTCAGTAATGGTTTGTCGTTTCATTTCGTCCGTTATTTTCTGCGAACTTCTCTACATTACAACGAAATTCTTATTTATTTTCTGTGTAAAGTTTCATTGTTCTGTAATAAAGTCAGATTATTTTAAATATTTGAAGATTTCTGGTATTTTTTTCTTTTAGTGAAAAATCGATCGCAAGGGAAATGAACCAATAGTATCGAGGTATGTTTGGTTTTAGTATAGAGTGTTGAATAGTTTCTTACAAATGGTGTGGGGTTAGAGTAGGGATGAAAACAGACATACAGACGTTGTGTCCGGTATTCCATATTAATGAATGTATTATCATATGTTTGGTACTTTGAGGTATCAATATAATAATAAAATCATAAATTAACGGTAATCGTTATTAATCCAATAATAAAGATATAATCATATTGAGTTATTTTGTATTGGGTTTGTATAACTTTTATTTTATTAATAAAAACTGATTTTTTTAAGCTTTCAGTTCAAATTAATTTATACAATGTTTACTATTGCTTCTATGTTAAGACTTTTACGATCATTACTCATATAAAATGATTAGTTTTATTGAAATAAAAGTTTATAAATGATGTATGATCTCTAATAATTTTATCTGTTATATACATATAGATAGTCTACAGGATGTCAGAAGAGTTTGTGGGTTGTACAGTTTCTGTAAAATGTATTGAAGAAGTTGGAACTTATCAAGGACAAATAGTGGACTTAAATAAGGATTGTATTATACTTTCAAAGGCTTTTTGCAACGGGGTTCCTCATAGCTCACCTATAGTCGTATTATGGTATTTGGCAATGATGATTTAATTTCATTAGAAATAAAAATGAAATGCATACATTTAAAAATAAAACATTTGTAAACTTTTAGTGCAAAGGATATATTGAACGTGGAATTTATATCAATCAATGATAAAGGATTCAATACTAATGATACAAGATACAATGTAAGTGACCACAATCAAGCACAAAATAGCATTACTGTAAAAAGACCTATTGCCAAAAGAGTTGGTAGATCATTCTCTGAAAGTGTTTCATCTTCTGTTCAATCCACATCATCACAAACACAAAGTAATTTTAAAAAGCCAAACAGTAATTCTCAGTCTACTTTAGAACAACCTACCAATGGGAAAATTTCATTAGGTATAATAATAAAATTAATTTTTTGTGCTAAATAAATATCAATCATTGTGGATGATAATGTGTTCTTTCAGCTGAATCTGTTGATAAACCAATGCAAAAGAAATTAAGTAGTAAGCAGAGAAATGAGCACACATTTGGTACTTCAATTGATCAATCTTTGAATCAAGACTTTGATTTTGAAAAAAATTTAGCTCTGTTCGATAAAGAGGTCTGTTTTTTCCTTCTAATAATAGTTCATTGAACTAGTTCATTAAAATAAAAGTGATGCATATTTTTTACAGGCTGTGTGGCAAAAAATAAATTCTTTGAAACCTAAGAAACAAAAACAAGTAAATTATAGGCATGATGAAAATGTTATTGTTTCTGAACGTGCAGATTTTAAACAAATATTAGTACCCAGTGCTGGTGAAATAGAATATGTAACAGACAATGGTTTAATAATTCCTAGTATAACGCTTAACCTTCATCGTCAATTAATAGGAGCAGCAGATAGACTGGGTATTAGTTGGGAGCGTAGAGTATGTAAAATTAAAGTGTAAAAAACAACATTTATAATCTTGTTAGTAAATGAAACTCATTTTAAAAATTAGGTAGAACTTCTTGGTCGTGCTGGTGCAGAAATTATATTGCAACTATTAGGAGGAAGTCATCGACTTAATCCAAATAATGCACATCAGTGGCCAACAATTATTGCACTTTGTGGACCTCATCGTTCTGGCGCAGCAGGTGTTAATTGTGCTAGACAATTATCTACTCATGGCATTAAGACAATAGTGTTTGTAGAAAATTCTGAAGACGTTTTCCTTCTACAAGAATTATCTTTATATAAATTAACAGGAAATAAGGTAGAAACTAAATTTAAAAATTTACCATCAATAGTGGATTTAATACTCGTAGCACTTTGTGATGAAAACTCACCAAGAATGATCACGCCTATAGCAAAATGGGCAAATAATAATAGGGCACCTATTTTAGCTATTGAACCACCAGCTACAGGAACGCCTGGTATTCCAAGTAAATGTAGTCTTCTTGGTGGATTACCATTATCTCATAGTGTTGACAATGGCAAATTATATTTATGTAATCTTGCACTGCCAAACGAAGTATATGCGGATGTTGGTATAACATATAGGTCTCCTTTTGGACCGAAATTCGTCATTCCTTTGCATTCCAATAATTCTTAACAATTTTATAAAAAGGATTATATTTCTAATAAAATGTTATAATTTAATATAATTTTAGTTTTATGCCTTGCTAATATAAATTTATACTTAAATCGCGAATATTTTCCCGAATTTAGAAAATAAAAATCATGTATAATGTAGCATTTAATGTTATAAAATTCAAGCGTAGTTTGTGTATAAACAGTTATAATTTGGTGTGCAAAGGCAATTGTGTGTAATTGTTCTTTTAAATGTGTAAGTATACAGTGTATACAAAATTAACATACAAATAATAAATATACAGTGTTTGGTTTTGTAAGTTACATAAACAAATAAATGCTTTTAAATAAACAGAATAAATTCAAGTAAATCTAGTATATCAATTTTTAAATATTACAGAGTATAAGAATTTTACAAATACTACTCGTATATTTTAACACATATGTTGTTTCCTACTAATAAGTACATAATATTACAAGTATATGATATTCTTTTTACAAAACAATATAATTGTACAAATTTCGATTTACACGTGGGTCTTATTTTCATTTATAATCAAGGGTAGACATTAATATTGATATTTAAATCATTTTTTAAGTAAATTCAGCCTAAAGAAATTACTTATTATATTTATAATTTGTGATAGATAAATTCATGTTTACATGTTTTTTTGCGATATTCAGGTTTTTTTAAGCTTCTCTTTATCTTTTAGCTTCTAAAGTACAGATTAAAAAAATTTTATTATTCTAATAAAACGTACTTACTTGTGTTATTATGTCCATGTTTATCGAATAATGTACGAAATATGGTAGCATAATTCAAATAGTTGTAAAAACTGGTTGTATAAGATTTATTTTAATCATAGATAGCCTAAGTAAATAAGTTATTTATATTGTATATGTAAATATATATTTATATATTTTGAAACTTAGTCTTGATATTTAATATGATGATAAATTCTATAAATAATACCAATGTAATTTCTTTTAATATTATTTACATTACTTTGAGTAGATTTAGAAATATAATATAAAAATATAAGATATAGAATGCAAGAAATGAACAAATTAAAATATTAATATTAATGGTATATCTTTTTTATTTTTTATAACTATTGTTTGTCGAATTTTTACAATAATTCTATTAATAAAATAATATATTTCAGTAAAATAGTATAATAGTTAAATTACAGAATTATAATTAACATAATCAACTATTTGCATTAATTAAAGACACTTTTACTTACTATCAAGTCTTATAAATGCAATGCAAATTAACATACTTAAATTCATTACAAAAATATTTCGATACTATAGTTCAGCTCAAATTAACGTTAAACACATATTTCGTATATTTAATATATTAAATCTATAAACACTTGTACTATTTCAGTATTATCAAGCACAATAATGCAATAATTTCATAAAATATTTGAAGCTAACTTTAATCTGAAAATATTCTTGGTTTTATTTGAATTAATTTTCATATACAGTAGTTAATCTTTAGTTTTTTATTATTTTCAATTAAGTTAGAAATTGAACCATCACATGATGTTTATTTGGAAGAAGTTTTGTTTTCACAATTCTAAAATAGTTTATTATATAATAATAAATACGCCACTAAATATAGTAATTAATTTAGAATGACATAGCATTATATACTTTGTTGTCTCGGAAAAAATTTTAATTTAGTGATTTAGAATTGTGGAAACAATCAATCCCTAATGTTCTCATTATTTATCAGTCACAAGATCTATTTTCAATCTATTTTCTACCTTACTTATTACGGATAGCCATTGGTAATATGAATAATCATGACTTCAGTTCTATCTTATGAAAAATACTTCATATATTTACATTCATAATATATTCGTCGTTTCAGAAGAAACAATGATACATTCATGAGATTTCATTGCCTCTCGATTTACATGTTGTCTAAATCGGTATTTAATTAAAATACTTAACTATATTAATTGAACACTAAACTAAAAATTGACCTCATATTATTTAAGGCATTTTTTAAATTTGAATTTGAATTTCAATTTTTGTTTTATAATACATCTAAAAAAATATAATTACTACATTATTTATATTGCAATGTGTACATCTTTGTTCCTAAATTCCATTTCTTATTATAAATTTTGTTTATTTAAAAAATTAGGAAGTTGTGGTATTGTTTTAACGTCTAAGAAATAATTACAGCAATATACGTTAGCACCTTGCAACAATTATAAGAATTCTTACACGTATTCAGCCTCAGTCAAAATATATCTTAAAAGTACATAACATACATTTGCATTATTTTTTAATTAAATGTTATTTTCATAATTCAAATAATTTGTAACTGTACATGGTCAAAAATTTAAACATTGATGCAATAATGCAAATTATTTTTGTCTTACTATAAATAACAGTAGTTTAATAATTTAAAAGTAATACCACTACTTACACATAAAAATTATTAAGCATTATAGTCTATGATTTATAATTTAAATTACAGACAGTAAATCAATGAAATAAATCAATGAGAAGCTGCTAGATGTATTGATTCATATTAGTTAATAGAAACTTCATTATGAAGTCCAACATTCTTTTTTTTAATCGAAAAATATGTTTTATATTTCTTTTCAATATGAATTTTACTATGTAGTTATATACGTAGTTATGAATGACGAAAAGTTTTTTTATCAACATTTCATCAATAAATATAAATTGTAATATACATTATTTAATTGTATCAAGTTAATTTACTTTTAATTCTGGTATTTCTGCTTTATTAAATCTTTTAAGTTACTATCGCTTTTACTATAAAAAGCGAAAAATGCATCCCATAAATGATACAATATTTTTTCATATCAACTGCGTTTTCGTCATTTAAATTTGACAATTATATCATTTTAAAAATGTTTCTTAGTCTTGAATAAATATATCACGGTATAAATTCATGCATTCTATTATTAATTGTAGCAGAATATAGTTGAATGCAAGTTCATATTTTTCAGTATGTGTAGAATTTTTTTCAAAACTATTCTGCTATAATTTTTTATATTTTACTATATGCAACTGTTAAAAAACAATTCTCATAGTAATTATACCATACCTTATACATCTTCGTAAAAAATTACGCCAGTGTTGACTGGCTCTTATTGCGTCTCCCTAGGATGCTGGTGTAGGATTAGCAGTCGGTGGTACGGCATTCGTTTGTTTCGCTCGTCTGCGTTTGTTTAATAACGCGTTATTTGTGTGATCCAATTGTTTCAAATTGGCTGTATCGTAGTCTACACGCATTGTAGCTAAAGAGCGTGTCATTTCTTCTTGAACTTCTGGCCAAAGTTCCTCACCTTCTCGGAGTACACGGCCAGTATGTAAAGGCGTAGGAGGTACTTCCGTATATTGCTACATATAAAATATATGATTTATATTTATGGCTGTATAACGTATATATTGAACAGTGGAGAGAAAAATTCTTACAGCAATCCATTTATTGCGCATAACTTCGTCGATTTGAAGTCTTTGAGCTGGATCTGTACACAGCATACCCTTGATAAGATTCTTTGCCTCAGTGCTTACATTAGACCATTCAGGGTCTGGAAAATCGTATTGACCTAATCGAATTCTTTTTTTCATTCCAGGTGAAATTGCTAAACCATGATTACTGTAGAAAGGTGGAAAACCACATAATCTAAAATATTATAAAAAGGTATATATAAATTTACAATATACAAATTTATTTATAAATGATAATTACTTACAGTATATACATTATAACTCCAAGTGACCAAATATCACAGCTTTTATCATATTTTTCTGGTCCTAGAACTTCAGGAGCTATACGTCCCACAAAAATATTTGTTTTGTCATTTTCATACACTTACAGAATGAAATTTATTACGAATAAAATTTAAATTTTAAAAACTTACCAACATAATATGGTGTATAACATGGGGTTTGTAATGTATCTTTCATATGAGTTTCTTTCGCAAAACCGAAATCAGTAAGTTTTAATATCCCAATACTATCTAAAATCAAAACATACAGCCTGTTTATAAATTGATATTAACGAATATTAAACTCTTATACGACTCATTTGTATATGATTTTAATATAATTATTTACATACCAGGTTTAGAATACAAGAGATTCTCTGGCTTAAGGTCCCTATGTGCAATATTCATATCATGCAGGTGCTTTACAGCGACACAAATTTCATACATAATTTGTGCAGCTTCTATAAAAAAAAAAAAAGATTGTATAAGATCATTAGAAAATCTATTTAAATTTATATTCAATAAACCATTAATTTAATTTAATATACCTCTCTCTGTGAAAGCACCATCTTGTCTATCTTGTATTCTTTCAAACAACTCTCCTCCTTCCATGCTAAAAATTGATTATATTTAATATTATTTGGATGAACATCTTTTGATTCAAATAAAAATTGAGAAATTTACCATTCCATAACAACTAACAAACATTTATTTCCACTATATGTGTTTTCATATACATCTTTGACTTGCACTATGTGTCTGCAATTTGATGCTCTCCAATGCAATTCAACTTCCCTTCGTGCTTTTACACAATCATATAGCACCTACAAGCATAAAATCATACAGAAATCAGTATTATAAATTCAACAATTCCACACATAGTAATTACATACAACGTATAGAAATTTCAATTTACACGGAACCTTGAATAAATGAGATGATGTAATCTGTTAAGATAAAAGCGAATAGAACATTAGAAGTGATAATTTAGTGACTTGCAATAACGTAAAGTATTGTATAATTTTCAATAGGAAAAAGAGTATATAAATTGTACGAAACGTACAAAATCTTGAACAAAAATTTTTCGGAAGATTTATATACTCGTATATTCGCTTTAAAAATCGCTGGTGAATGACCTAAAAACAGCTGACTCCGTCATTAAATCGATAAAACTTATTGCATTATACAGTGGTTTGCGACCTAACTAACGTTCTTAAGTTGAGAGATGCGATAGTCTGAAATCGATAAATATAATGTAGTTTTAAAATACGGCAATATTTCTAATTTATTAAGAGAACTGCCTCTAATTTATATCATCTGATTAAAAAATATGATCACACGTAATTTATGTGCAATTTAAATTTGGAAATGAACGATATTTTATATCTATATATAACATATGTAAAATAACAAAGAACATTACTGTTGTAAAATATACGTGTACAACTTAAAGAATTACTTGGCACAGCGAGTAACTCTTATCTAACGCTACAAAACCGTTACTGGCACAATATAAATATCTTTTATTTAAGTAATTTCTATCAAGTAACAAATTTAACTATCGTTATCATACCGAGTGTCATATATTTCAGTGTAATATTTCAATTTCTTTCAATATAATTATATACTTGTTACTTAACTTTATATAAACATAATATCATTAATTTAAAAAATTTTAAGCTTCCAATATTCTTGCATGATTTTATGCAAGATACAAATTGTAAGAGGTATGGTAAAGTTGCGAAATAAAAAAAGAAGTCTCGCGGAAAAAGTGTCTTACAGCTGAATCGTATTTTTAGAATATCGGATACGCATGTATTCAGTTCTAAAATTGTTTAAACACAATTAAAACCTGAGGATCACGCTTGAAGAAGTAGAAATCAGTTTTAATTTGAAGTAACGATCTTGAACGATAATAATGAAATAGGCATACATATAGAATGAAATCTTTATGAAAAACTGGTTACGCAAGAAAATATGTGCAATTGAACACATTTAATCGTAGAAAATCATATAATTAAAAAATCTTGTGAATTTAATTTTAATTTTTAGGCTCTTGGATTTTCAAATTTTTCCAACATTTTCGAATTCACAAGTTTCGATATAAATTTTCAATGAATGTCAATCGTATTGTTAACGAGCTTTAGGTTACAGTTTTCCACAATTGTCGCGCGCCCTCTTGAAAATACATTGCTCATGTGCTGACGAGCCGTGATAATATGATTAGCATTAGCACAGTGACATTTCTATTGTTACGACGACGTATGAAATGAACTCGCAGAATTATCATTAATGGGCTCCACAATCAGATTATATTCATCAACCATTTGCGATGTGAGAAAATTCGGAATTATTCTTTTTCTCTCTCTTCATCTCGATGTTTGCTTCGTGAATAACTTCATAATACAACTTATAACACAATTATAGTACCGAGTTCTTCTCGAGTTAAAAGAATGAAAAGGCTATCATTTTTATAAGGAGAATCATTCTTATAACAAGAAAAATCGCAACGATATTTCCGTCACTGATTTCCTGTTATTGAGATTCTACTAACAGATCGCGGAGAGATCCACGCAAACCTAACCTAAACCGTTCCCTCCGCGCAGGAACTAACAAATAAAAATTCAAGTATTCACGGAATGCCACAGCCAAGGCAAAGAAATGTAAAACGATAGTCGACACAACGCGACAACTGTCAAAGCAAGAGGTAATCAATGAACGAAGCTGAATGTGTAACAGAAATACCGGTTTGCAACATTCGCCTCGTAATAATCCATAAATACTGACTGCTTCTCGCAATTATATGAAGATACGCGTGGAAAACATAATTCCGTAACTTTCTCTTCGAGAAGAGAACGTAACGTCAGCATCCTTTTTAACAAGCGTCGCATTCTACAAAAGTCATTAAGTTTAATTACAATCATGAAAAACATAATAAATATAGTTGGCACGATTAATCATAATTAATGTAAATGGACAAACAAACTCATCAGTTTCATCGAAGAATAATATTAAAATTTAAGGGAAAAGTGCTCGAGGATCGATATAAAATAGATAATTGAGTCTGGGACTGTCGGACTGATAGAATTATCGTTCATTACTATCGCACTTCTTCATAGTTATACAGCACAATTTAAACGATTTTGCTGACTTATATGGCTCGTTTCCAATCTTCCTGATAAATCGGCGTAGATAATGAATTAGTAGGCAGTTAAAGCTCTGCTTTTGCTAGATATGTACTAATTTTAAATCAACTGTTTTCATGAAAATTCACTTTCTTTTTATTTAGTTTCTTCTGTTAAGCAACAATATATATATGTTTGCGAATCATATTCGTTCTCACGTTACGTAAAAAAGGGGGGAGGGGTGGAAAGAAATTGATATCTTTCAATGTCTACTGACAGTTGATTTATGGCAAGGAAAATATTCTATGCTGGATTGATATTTTTGGTGACATTAATAACACTAATGTACTGCAAGCATGAAATCACCGATACTGTATAAATAATGACATATTTTTGCTGAAGCTTATCAAGCTATTCTTGTTCATACAGTCAGATGTATCCCCCCTATTTATACATATTTTACTCTTTTTGTGTGTAGAAAAAGAAAAGTATAAATTATTGTTGGGGAAAATGTGCATTAAGTTGGTAAAAAATGACTATAGAAAAGAAGCAACAACGTGCAAGTATTTTGATATTTTAAGAAAAACGTAACAGGGGATTACTGTTTTTAATTATACAGAATGTGATGCGCAAATTAATTCCTCTTTCTAACTTTTATATATTAGAACGTATTGTTAACGACAAAAAAAAAAAAAAATATTAAGAGATAGATCGTTAATTAAATGCGCACATGTTACACGCGCGATTCACATAATCGGTCGTTGACACTCTACATATTTTATACACGTCTGTAGGTAATAAATAATATAGGTTTAATATTCAAAAATCGATGGAATTAGATGCGAGAAAGTGATGAAATTACCTATGGCTCTAAATTTCTAATTATTTTTCCCAATATTTCACGATTCCTGTAATGTATTTGTATTTGTAATTACGTTCTAGATCTGGCGTCGTCTCGTGGAATTCTTCGCGGTGGTACATGACGAGCCAAGAACAACAAATCACGCGCGAAAACACGAGGATTCTCAAAATTTTCCCCAAAGACGAGACAGAGAGAGAAAGAGAGAGAGAAAAAAATAAGAGAGGCGATAGACTTCGAGCGATACACACGCCGCATGGTCGGAATCGTTGAATGGGAAATCACAGAGTATAAATAGAAGATGACTCGCTGGACTCCGTTGGACATCGTTAGTCGATGATCATACTTCAACGCTGCTACGTATCGATATACAACTATTAAGTATATACCTCGCTAACTGGTCAGTTATCGAGGCACGTACATGTATTTCCAGGAAATTCCAAAAAGTCTGTCGAAGTTGGAGGTGAAATAAGAATATCTGGCACATTTGTTTGTTTCTCCATACGTAATGCCAGAGGTGCATTCGTGAAATCAGTTTCCAAGAACCGGTGGAAATAGCAACATTCGTCAATTAACGAAGCAAAATGCCGGACAACGTGATACTATTGTTTATCCCTGATCGATTGATGTCTGTCCATTCACAAAGATGTTAATTTTTTTCCTCCAATAAGAGGATATTACACCTTTTCGTCATTATTCCATTAATAACCAAGGCCAGATGTGTCGCGTTACACTTTGAAGTAAAACATTTTTTTCTTTTATGTCCGCTGACAGGGGTCAAAATGTTTGTAAAATCCTGTTACGTCCATCTCGATCGGTGCAACAACGCAATCGGATATAAGCAATATAAAAAGTAACGTGCTAAACGTTCTCTATCTACACGTATCGTTGTGTTACGCTGCCTGTGCAATCGTGTGTTCAAGTACGGCGTTTTATTGTTCGTGCGTGGAAATTTTAATTAAGTCTCACCCGGGTTATTTCGTCTCGTACACTAAAACAAGATATAAAAAAAAAAAAAAAAACCAAGGAGTATTGTCATTTTCATAGACGAGGGGGGAACCTCGATTATTTCGAGATCCTCGAGCGATCTTTCTCACGTTTGCCTTTCGTTATCATATAATATCAAGCTTTCTATATATGTGTGTGTGTGTGCAGTTTTTTCACAGAATAACCAAATGATCGATCACAAACGAAAAGCACTGATCGTTGATCTCACCTTAAGCGCATATTTTTCCCTGGTATTTTTGTCGTAACACTGAACAACCTTCCCGTTTATCCCAAGACCAAGTACGTGATTGCTAATTTCATAGTCGTCGGTGATCGGCGTGACTTTCGGTAAACGGGCGTCGCATCTTGTGACCGTGTGTTCCATGGTTTTCCGTTTGGTTTCCGCGACCGAAACCTCTTTGTCTTTCGTCGACACCTCCTCGATCTCTATTTCCGCTGCTCGTTTCCTTTTCCCTTTTTTATTCTCCTCGTTCTCCTCGTTCTCCTCGCCGACGGGCCTCTTGCACTTTCTAAAATGGTAATCAATCGTCAGTCACGTTTTCGTTTCACGGAGGAAGAGTCGATA